ATTGTCTTCGACCCCTAATAATACGCCCCACCAAGACCGATCAAGCAACAAATAGATATCATCGGTGAGCTTGCATATGTCAGTGAAACACCCCTGGCTCTGCTCATGTAGATAAAAATCAACAGCGGTCTTAGCCCAAAGGGTGTTATCCAGAATTGTGTCCGGTAGTTGATCCCTCTCCTCTTCAGATACCGGTATGGTACTGGCCGGTAACTCATACGAGAGCCAACTTGAATCCATCATGTCCGGCACGTCAGAGGGTTTCTCAAGAAGCCTACATATGACGCCATGTGAATCGGGCTCTTGAATGGTGGGAGGGACCTCTTCAATGATGACAGTGGCCTCTTGAACGGTGGGAGGGGACTCTCGAGGAATGATAGGGGGGGCCTCTTCAACGATAGGAGTGGACTCTTGAGGGATGACAGGCGAGTCGGGCTTCTTCTTGCGGTGTCTTCGCACTATTGGGGTGTACGGAGACTTAATAGCACGTGCACGCTGTCTGATGCGTGAACTCCGTCGTGCAAGCATAACCCGACGTAAAGCATCCACTCTATCGGGCCGCTAAATAATTAAATACAAAAATCAGTAAATAAACAGACATGATATTTAAACAGTGAAAACAAAGACAAATATGTTTCAAACTTGCATTGTATTCACCCAAGTCATTATTCTATCATAGTTCACAAAATGCATCAGATAACAAAGAAAAATATGTTTCAAACTAATACCCTGAAGTTAGTATTTGTCTTTGTTTTGTCTATTGGTTGAAGTAATGCAATCCATTCAAGTTTCAATTTGCAGAAGAAGAAATAGTTTACTTTCGCAACACGAAACTTAAAATCGCAACGCGAAACCAAAATCGCAACGCGAAATGAAAATTGCAACGACAGAATCGCAATACAAAATGAAAATCGCAACGAAAGAATCGCAACGCGAAATGAAAATCGCAATGCGATTTGGTTTCGCGTTGCGATTTTGGTTCGCGTTGCGATTCTGTCGTTACGATTTTCATTTCGCGTTGCGATTTTGGTTTCGCGTTGCGATTTTAAGTTTCGTGTTGCGAAAGTAAACTATTTCTTCTTCTGCAAATTGAAACTTGAATGGATTGCATTACTTCAACCAAAAGACAAAACAAAGACAAATACTATTTCACAGTGTTAAAGAATACACAGTTTAGCAGAATTGGCAGCAACCGAACAAATTTACTTTCAAACCAAAAGACAAAACAAAGACAAATACTATTTCACAGTGTTAAAGAATACACAGTTTAGCAGAATTGGCAGCAACCGAACAAATTTACTTTCAACCAAAAGACAAAACAAAGACAATACTATTTCACAGTGTTAAAGAATACACAGTTTAGCAGAATTGGCAGCAACCGAACAAATTTACTTTCAACCAAAAGACAAAACAAAGACAAATACTATTTCACAGTGTTAAAGAATACACAGTTTAGCAGAATTGGCAGCAACCGAACAAATTTACTTTCAACCAAAAGACAAAACAAAGACAAATACTATTTCACAGTGTTAAAGAATACACAGTTTAGCAGAATTGGCAGCAACCGAACAAATTTACTTTCAACCAAAAGACAAAACAAAGACAATACTATTTCACAGTGTTAAAGAATACACAGTTTAGCAGAATTGGCAGCAACCGAATAAATTTACTAAGCAATCTAAGTGAAATGGCTAATCTAAGTGAAATTACGAGTAAATTTATCATTAAGTTAAATATGGAAAATCTTAAACTTACCTCGTTGTGTAGAGTATGAACCTCATTCTGCAACGATACTATCATCTCACGTAGAGCGGCAACCTCACCACGTAAAGTTGACACCTCCACACGCCATGCACCATCGTTATCGCGTAGAGTACCGATCTCCTCACGCAAGGCATTGACCTCATCACGTAACTCCTTGACTCATCCCGTTGAGGTGGAGGTGGAGAACAGGGAGATAGGAGTCGTGGCATCTTTGCCGGTCGCCTATCATGAGGTGATGGTGGAGAGAGGCTCGATGATGTGACGGGATAGGTGATGGCTCTCGTTCTAGAGGTGTATAGTCGGGTCGATCGGGTGATGGCTCTAGGTGAGGTGATGGCTCTCGAATTGGAGGAAGTGGATGCTGCTCATCATCCGTGCCATCAAAAAACTCTGACTAGCTTGCCACCAATCAATGGCAAGCTCTTCCTCCGTGGGTGTCAGTCTTTGTAATGGAATGTTGGCCTCCTAAAATATAAAAACTCAAACAAAGTTAAACGTCTACTATTAATAACTTGTTTATATATTATATGAAAGTATTTGTGTTAACTTACATTATTTATTGTCGCATATGGTATTAAGTCTTCCCAATCCAACAGAGTTTTCCTCTTCCAGGAAATAGCCCTGGGAATATCATTTGACGTTTTTATTGCATATGTACGCATGCTGGGGAAAGCCTCGAATATCCAAATCTACAAACAATATAATAACAAAATTAGTAATTGTTAAATAATTAATTATAATTTTTAGAAACATTATATAGAAATTCTACCTTAAAGGCCCAAACAAAGCCTGACAAAGTGTATTTGGACCCATCGCCCCGCAAACTTTTGCGGTCATCAAAGGCAGACGACAACTTAGTCCAGGTAGCTTTCCATATATACGAACCCCACGGAAACAGATTCCATGCATTCAGGTCCTCTACCAATATTATTAGCTCCCGATGAATAGGTTGTCTGGCCTCTCTGCCTAAAAAGCCGGCATACACAAGTAGTAGAAGGCTACTCGGACAACATCGACGTCATCCATCCAAGTGAAACCAGCTTTCTTATTAAACAATTTCTTCAGGTCGTCGACATGTAGGTTCGGCTTCTCCATTGACTCATCCGGAAAAACCCGGATAACCATGATGGGCGGGCGATATGACGAGTGTACCGGCCTACATCATCGTGTCCGAATCGTAGACCAGTGATTAAGCAGAACTCCTTCCGCCCAAAACAAGTATACGCTGGTGGAAAATGAAACCATATCTCTTCCTCACCACGTTGTATACTGTCGGGTAGATTTGATGTCATGGTCTGAAGCCACAAATGGGTCAAATTAGCATCTCCACCCGGATGCTGTACTCTCAGCCATGGCCCGAAGCAGGTTTCCTCAAACAATTGTCTTTGAGCAGGTGAAAGCTTCGAAGCAATTGTAGTGGCCAGGCTGACTTTATTTCTCAAGGTCAATTGAGCCGAAAAAAATTTCTACAAAACAATAAACATACCAAGTTAGATATACCAAAAACAATAAACATAAAAAGTAGTAGTTTATTCTTGAAACTAAAATTTGCAACACTGTTTTGTCTTTTGGTTGAAATGAAAATCGCAACGAGAGAATCGCAACGCGAAATGAAAATCGCAACTAGAGAATCGCAACGCGAAATGAAAATCGCAACGAGAGAATCGCAACGCGAATGAAAATCGCAATGCGATTTTGGTTTCGCGTTGCGATTCTCTAGTTGCGATTTTCATTTCGCGTTGCGATTCTCTCGTTGCGATTTTCATTTCTCTCGTTGCGACAGTCATTCTCTCGTTGCGATTTTCATTTATCTCGTTGCGACTCTTCTGCAAATTGAAACTTGAATGGATTGCATTACTTCAACCAAAGACAGAACAAAGACAAAGACAAATACTAACTCGAAAATCGCAACGAGAGAATAGCAACGCGAAATGAAAATCGCAACGACAGAATCGTAACGCGAAATGAAATCTAAGTGAAATGGTTAATCTATTATTGAAATGACCAGTAAACTTATCATCAGTTTCAATATGAAAACCTACAATAATGCAAACATTTCAAAATAAAAATAATTAAAAAAACTAACCCTCGGAGGTTGATTTTCCATTTCTGAATATTGTGAGGGATTTCTGACCGTGAATGGTTGTGAGGGATTTCGCCGGAGATGGGGACGGAAATCTTCGGAGATGGGGACAGATTTCTTCGCCGTAGAGAGTGAGAGATGGAGATGGGACTGAGTTGTGATTTTAGGTTTTAGGTTATGAGTTGCGATTACGGGATTTTGTCTTAATATTGGTTTTTGTAATTTGAAAATAAAATACGCGTAGCGATTATAATGGCGCTTTAAATATCGCGTTGCGATTTACGGATACGCGTTGCGATTTTATGTATTATCGTTGCGATTTACGGATACGCGTTGCGATATACGGATACACGTTGCGATTTACGGATACGCGTTGCGATTTATGTGTTCGCGTTGCGATTTTCATATTCGCGTTGCGATTTTGGAAAATCGCAATGCGAATTTGTACTATCGCATTGCGATTTTCAAGAATCGCGTTGCGATTTTGGAAACTGATTTGCGATTCTGGGGATCGCGTTGCGATTTTTATTTCGCGTTGCGATTTTGTTGGTCATTTTGGCAAATCCAAAAAAAGTTGGTTAAAATCGTATATTATAACTTTTTTTTGGTCACTGAGGCGATTTTCTCATTTAAATATTATATTTATAAAAGTTTTAACCTTATATATAAATTAATTAAAAAAGTGTACTAAGTGACAAAATTTTTATAAGATAAATATATAATCACTAAATTATATTAAAATAATATTTTCCACTAAAATTTTAGAAATTATAAAACATTCATTAAAACTTTTTAAATATTATAAAATGGTCATTAAAATTTATTAAATTATTATGAAATAAATATTAAAATTATTAAAAAATTATCCATAAATTTATCGATAGCTATCACTATTTTATAACATATACTGATGATTTTATAACAGTTGAATAAGTGTAATGCCTATTTTGTAATTTCAAAAACTGTAAGTGATCAAAGAAATAATGTCAGAATAGTTTAATGACCATTTGGTTGTACTTTACTCAATTTTGTAAACGGGCTGACATACCGGGTAAGTGGATCCAATTCGGGTACGATTCGCGAAAATAAGGAACCCGATCGTCGAATTTCCCCTGATAAAATAAAATCAAAAAGACAATCTGAAAATAAAAGCTCCTCGATACCCAAAAAGAAAATAAAACCAGCTGATCTTCATCTGTTTCTTTTTTTACCGCCGGACTGAGAATTAAAGAGATCGGAAATGTCATTGGAGCCCCCGCCTTTCCAGGAAGCACCACGATGCGAAGTCTGCAAATGCAGCTTTAACACTTTCAGGCGCCGGGTATATTATTATTCTAAAATCTTTTACTCTTTTACTCTTTTTTTCTTTTTAATTTTCTATTTTTTATACCAATCAATAGCCGATCGTTTTAATTTAATGCTACGAAAGCAATGAATCTTATCGTCCGGTGAAGTAAATTTTACCGATTAGGTTTTTTTGGTCATAGATCGGTAATTGTTTAAATTATACTGGAGTTCTTTCTTTTTCTTTGATCTTAGTTGTTTTACTTATTTATTCGCTCTAAAGATGAGTTTTATTATTCGTGAAATTGCTGATTCAGAGTTCCTTTTGACTCTAAGTAAGTATTTTTATGGTTTATTTTTTATTACGGTATATTGGTGCTTTGGAAGTGTTGATAGCCTTGTTAATTTCTAGGCCTACTGCTATATAAATTTGAAAGATTGAATCGGGTGTATGCCTGATCTTGTGAATATTTAAGTTCAGATTTGTGACTGTGCCTTTGTCGTTGCCTTCAAACTTGAGGAATTTGGGATCAATCGACAGAATCATTGGTTGAAGCCTGTGTATATGGTATAGAAGGCATAATTGGTTCTGGTTGTGGAAATTGTTGTGCAAGACTACACTAGTTGCTAATGATGATCTAAAGTGTTGTAATTGTAATTTGTATGTTCTACCGAAATCTATAGATGTTTATGATATTGACTATAATCAAAGTTATGTTAGTATGCTACTCGTCATGAAATAGGTGCTGTAAAAGGTTCTGATTATATTTATTGGTTATAAAGCAATACAAATGTAAATGTTCATAGTTTTTTTAGTTAGGTATGCATCTATCCTATATTGGATTGATTACTTTATGGAAAATGCATGAAACGATCTTCATTTTACAGCACCATTGCCGAAGTTGTGGAAGGACATTATGCCATGAACATTCATCTAATCAAATGGTTTGAGCTCTCAGCCCCTCTGTTTAACGGTTAACTAATCATTTCTCAAATTGTAAAAGTTTGAATAAACCAGCTTTTACTAAGGAATCTTTTGTATATTTTTTTTTCATGTGTGCATATTCAGGCTTTACCACAATTTGGCTTTCTTTCTTCCGTTCGAGTTTGTGCAGATTGTTTCAATAAATCTTCAGGGTAAATGTCTCTTGACTGAATGCACATATACATATTTAAATATCCTTGATTAGAAAGGGAAGAAAGAGGGGGGTGTAACTTGAATATGTTTTAGATTCTTGGTGTTAGTCCATGCTCCTGCTTTATTTTGATTTTCTTCTTATTGACTAGACCACAATTTAAGAGACCATTTATAAATATTTGTTTTGTTTCTTCACATAATTTTCTTTTGAATTTATTTGGGTGCAGATCTGCAAAAGCTGATCCTCAGCCTCCTTTGGGTGGAGTTGATTCTATTACAGATGAAGTCTCTAGATTAGACATTAATGCAGTTGGGGGTTCAGAAACTGATACAACTGCAAAGCAACAGTCTGTTGCAAGCACTCCAGATTGCAAGTGTGGAATGCCGTTGTGTATTTGTGAAGCTCCCACACCAAAAACAGATGCAGTTCATCTTAAGGTATGGATTCTTATGTAGATTTGACAGCACCTCATATACCGATCCAAGCTTGTCTTATCGACCCTTATTTGTTTGCGCCGCAGATAAACTCTCCATCTTCAATGGCTTCGTCAAATCCTAAATCAAAAAAGAGTGACGCTGTTCCCAAGAGTAGAGGCTCCACTTCAAACAGTAAATCTAGGTATGATATTCTGTCCTTATTGAGTTTTTGTTTTTCACTCTTTCCAAACATAATGATGTTTACTAGAGAATCTGCAATAAAACAGCAGAACTATGACTGGAAAAATGAATCGGAAAGAAGATTGGATTCTAAAAACATAGGGTTATAAAACAACATCACGTGATATTTGATTTCATTATATGTGTGGAATTTGAGCATGAGATCCTAACCCTTTCTGGCCTATTCTAGTAGCCTGAGTTATTTGGAACCTGAAGCTGGATTCTAATGAAATAATGGCCTAATGGTTTGAGGCATAAAACACTGAAATCAGCTTACTTTCTCTCTTGATCTTGCTTTCTTGTTTGTACGCCACTTTTTGATAGAAGTTATTAAAATGAATTTTATTGTAGTGGAGGATAATTGTGAGAAAAACCCTCACTATTTCCACATTTACTGCCATCGTGATTTTTAAGTCTCTAGCCTCATTTGGTGGTTAATTTTTCTCTGTTTTTCTCTGCTCTTTTAGATATTTAGATATGGTTCACATCTTTGCAGTTCGGTTTTCAATCCTGGTCTGGTGACCAATGGTACTGCAACAGATAAATCTCAGATGGATTATGATGTAAATGGAGAGGTAGAAGTAGAATTATTTTAGATATTATCTATGAGACAGTCAAATATTCATAGTATTTTTTTCATTTTTTGAATTATATTCCTCTGCATTTACTATACTCAGGGTTTAAGAGAGGCCATAAAGAATGGTGATACTGCTGCAGCCAAAAAGCTTCTAATTGAGGTATGTGATGATTTTTATTCCAGAGTTCAAATAGAATGAGTTTCCAAGTATGATTATATGTGCAGGGTGTAGATGCAAATTATCGTGACAAGCAAGGATTATCTTTACTGCATGTGGTATTATTTCTCTCTCTCTCTCTCTCTCTCCCTCCCTCTCTCTCTGATGTTTATAGTTTGTTGTACTTGACTGCAATCATTTGTATGTGTTCGTGAAGGATAACTGATCGGATGCATAATCTCAGTTTCCATTTCTTTCGAAATTTATTACACTGATGACGGTATTAACTTTTGTGTAGGCGGCATTGTTCAATCAAACTGATATAGTGTTTGCCCTCATGGACTATGGAGCGAGCATGGACTACAAGAACACACAAGGTAAAATGTATGGCGAGATTTATGCCATTGCTGATTTTAAATCTGTCTATCTTCAAATTGAAGTTTTACTGTAGAGTTTTAAGGTTGCTGAAAGTCGAAAATGTCTTTAAAAACTCAATTCTGAATAAGATCGAAGTCCTAGAAAGGGGAAAAACTGACCTTCCCTTTGAAAGATGATACTCTGGTATAGTTTTGTTGAATGCCTTGGACTCATGGAAGTCGACGATTGAGAACTCTCCATCCTTTTCATTGCTGATTTTAGTTGGTAGCGTGTCCAGCACAGATTTGTAAGGATCTGTTTGTCTTCATGATTATCCTTTTTTTCACTTTTGAACCACATCAATTCCAGGAGAAACACCATTGGATTGTGCACCAGTCACTTTGCAATACAAGATGCAAATGAAGATGAAAGAGCGCGAGCATCATGAGATCAACTAAGCGAGAATTCGAAGGCAAATATGTACTTTGCTTAGACAACCGGCATACACGAGCTTGAGGTGTCAACTTCAACGATAAATCATTGCTGTATTATAGCTGGTAGTGTTTTTATTATAGCTGGTAGACAAACTGTCAAACAAGCTAAACTCGTCAGTTATGTTACTGTTTAGGTAACATGTAACATGCGAGAGAGAATATGACGGGCCACTTTTCTCGACCGATGAACTACGCCTATTTAGTAAGGTCAAAGTGTGTTTTCAGTCCATGTTCTTTACATTTACAAAGAGATTATCTACATTTTTAATAGTTAAAAATTAAAAATTTTTACTTTTTCCGATTTAAAAACTCAGTTTAATTGATGATACAAGTATCATTTTTCCCTAAATGTATTTGTTTGTTTTTGAAGTTGGTACTATTATACGGATGTATTGATGATAAGTTAGTGGTGTCGATAATTGAATTAAAACATTTTTTAGTAGTCTAAGTTATTATAGGATAGTGTATGTTTAGAATTTTTTTATTCATTATTATCGTATATATATTCTGTAAAAGTTTGAATATAAAATATCAAGGAAGCATCAACACTTGAGTTAGAACTTTTAAATAGTAAAAAGTAAAAGGATTTATATAGACATGACACGCATACAAGGTAGCAAATTCATTGCTTGTATAAATTGTTGTGTAGCCTATAGTAGGGTCAGGGAACAAATTGTGGGTTGGGAAATGATAACATTGAGCTACCTTTCACTTGTCGGTAAAGATAAGAGGAACCAATACTCCATATATTTAGCTTTTAATCTTTATGATAAACGTTGATAATATAAATATATTCCTCTGTTAGCAAACTTATCCTTGGAGTTTCTTTAAAGGAGATATTAAAGCATCTATATTTAATCATAGATGTTTGATGGAATTGTATTTCTTCTGTGACCTAATCATCACATCACATCATATCACATCACATCACATCACATCACATCACATCACATCACATCATCTTCGTTTTTATTCAAAAGAAAGCTGCCCACTACGTTCTACCTCCCCATTCCCATTTCATTTCTTCCTCACTAATCAACAATTCCCTTTCCCTTTCTTTCCTTGGTTTTCAATGTGTTCCTTCTTGCGTTGGGCTCTTAACCTCTGCTTTAAACACTCCTCTTCTCATCATTTTTCATTGGATTCTTCTTCTCCATCGGAAATTATCAGACACAACCTGGTCCTGACAAACTTCGGAGATGCCAAGCAGAGGATGCCTTGGGTTTCCGACACGTGTGCCGTCTGCTTGTTGGAGCTCGACGAAGGCGATGATTTAAGGGAACTGAGGAACTGCAGCCACGTGTTCCATAAGGATTGCATTGATAGATGGGTTGAGTACGATGAAGGCGACGATTATAATCGTAAGAGGTGCCCCCTTTGCAGATCTCCTTTGTTACTCACTTCTTCTCAAAGCTTAGTTGGGCCTAACAGTGAACCCAGCTGGGCGGTTGATCGGCTGCTCTACTTATTTGGGGATGACCTCCTACCTTAGATTACACCCCCCCAAAAAAAAACCCACCATGTTTATCTATTTTTTGCACTCCTTTTTTTCATTTTTAATTTCATTCTAATTAAGTTAATCAGATTGATGTTACCTTGTTAAATGTTTCTTTCATTCTATTTTTCGTGTTAAACTTTTCTAATTTACTCGTACTGTCGAGGCATATATTCCATACACAATTATTTTAGCAATAATGGTTGTATTTTTTTTACAGTAAGGAAGGTAAAAAGGGTCAATTCTTCTACCCCTTCGACTTATGTTAGTTTGGTTGATTCCACCGAGTATAATCATTGGATGTGACCAGGGAATGAAATTTAACCCTATTCTATCGGCTTTCGACTGGATCGGATAGAATCATATTTTTTAAAACAAATTTAGATTCGGGTCAGGCATGGTCTAATTTTAATAGTAAGATCGGGTAAAATTCTCGACTTAACTTATTTCAAGATAATAGTATAATTTTTTTTAAAAAAATTTATTATTTTTTAAATTAAATTCTTATTTTATACATATTCAGATTAGGTTGAATTTATATTTTAAAAATTCGAGTTAGGACAGAATGTAGATATATATTTTTAGGTCATATGTCCAAAAATCTATCCTAGCCTAACCTATTACTTGACATGAGGGTGATTTTTTCTAAAAATCATCTTTTTGATATATATTTACTTGTCATACATCTTTTTAGATATATTTTTTGATCTAACATTCTTTGTATAAAAGAATTGTTCATGAATTGTGGCTTACGATGATGTAGTACATTTCAGATATATTATATAATTAACTTTTGTTATGGTGAATTTTGTGTAAAAACATTAATTTTTTAATTTTTTTGTGCATGCAAAAATTTTTTTTGTATTAAAATCTTTAAATTATTTTTTACAAATTATTTTATAACTCGACAAATTTTGAGTTTCACATTAAATTAGATAATATGTATAATATAGTATAGAAAAATTTTGAGAGTAAGTAATTTAAAGTAAGGTAAACTACACGGGAGACCATCAAACTATGATCATTAATCAATCTTGTCACCGAAATATTTTGTCTCAATTCAACTACTTAACTTTTTAATTAATTTAAACAGACCACTATCTGTTAAAAAAATAGCGCGTACGACGTGGCTGTTAATAAATTGGCATAATTATATATTTAGTCTTTAATATTTACATAATCTATCAATTTAGTCACTATTTTAATTTAATTAAATAAATTTAACTATCTAATTAGAACATAACACATGTCAATACATGATTGAAATGTTTTATTTATGAATTTTAAATTATTTAATTTAATGATTTTTTATCCAATCAGGTGGTGACACATGTCACCACCATAATTGAAATGAAAAATTGAAGAACAAAGATGCAACCAAGGAGGATCGAACCTCTGCCTTTGGGGAGAGTAACAGGCGCCCAAAACCGTTAATTCTAACTTATAACAATTTGTATTTGACTTCTAAAAATTTGTTAATGATAAAAAAAGTAACAAATTATTTGTTTAAATAAATTAAATCGATTTTTTCTTTAACATTAATCGAACCGAAATTATTTGACCGTAAATCGAACCGAAATTTATTTGAAAATTATTAACCGAACTAAATTAACCGAAATTTTTTCTTTAACTATTAATCGAACCAAAATTATTTGACCGTTAATCGAACCCAAATTTATTTGAAAATTATTAACAGAATTAACTGAATAAAATAAGTTATTTTTTTAACCGTTAATCGAACCGAAATTTATTTGAAAATTATTAACCGAACCAAATTAACCGATTTTTTTCTTTAACCATTAATCGAAACAAAATTATTTGACAATTAATCGAACCGAAATTTATTTGAAAATTATTAACCAAACCAAATCAACCGATTTTTTTCTTTAACCATTAATCGAATCGAAATTATTTGACCGTTAATCGAATCGAAATTTATTAACCGAATAAAATAAATTATTTGTTCTTTAACCGTTAATCGAACCAAAATTTATTTGAAAATTTTAACCAAATCGAATTAACCGATTTTTTTCTTTAACAATTAATCGAACCGAAATTTATTTAAACAAATAATTTGTTTAATATTTTTTATCATTAACAAACTTTTAGAAGTCAAATACAAATTGTTGTAAGTTAGAAATGTTGGGGAGCTTTAGCCTAACGGATTGGGTGCTTGGTTACTCTCCCGCAAAGGTTCGATCCTCCCTGGTTGCATCCTTGTTCTTTAATTTTCCATTTCAATCAGGGTGGTGACACGTGTCATCACCTGATTGGATAAAAAGTAATTAAATTAAATAATTTAAAATTCATAAATAAAACCTTCAAATCATGTATTGACATGTGTCATCTTCTAATTGGATAGTTAAATTTATTTAATTGAATTAAAATAGTGACTAAATTTATAGAATATGTAAATATTAATGACCAAATGTATAATTATGCCAATATTAAAGATCAAATATATAATTATGTCAATTTATTAACGGACAAGTCGGACTCTCCTTTTTTTAACGGAGAGTGGTCTGATTGAATTAATTAAAAAGTTTGATGGTCGAATTGAGACAAAAAATAGTTCGATGGCAAAATTGATTAATGATCATAGTTTGGTGGTCTCCAGTGTAGTTTACCCTTTAAAATATGAATAATTTTATAAAAGTTTTATAACTAGTATTTGTTTTACAAAATGATGATAATGATGATGATAAAAAATATTTTATAATTTAAAAAAGTATAAATTTCATATATTTTTGAAAAAATTATTGACTTTTAAAATTATTTGTTTAAAAATATAAAAAATATTTTAATAAATTTTTAATTACAATGGAGGGATTAAATGAATTATTAGTCATTAATTTATTATTTTTTAATAACAATTAATAATGTTTATTCATTTTTAATAAAATTAGAATTTAAAATTTATTTTATTGTATTTCGCTGATCCTCTGTATTTTCTGATTTTCGGTTGGTTTTTGTTTGCATGCACGAGCTGAGAGCATTACAGGGAAATTTCGTCCCTCTCTCGGGAGTCTAGCGTTGTCGCGGCAGAGAGAGATTTGCCAGGGTTGTGCGGTCGTTCGGGTACAGTATGGACCAGATCACGCGCGCGTGGAGTCTTCGGGTGAAGCCAGGCCATTAGATCCTCGACTGGATTGACGGTTATGATCGAGTGGCGGCGATAGTGGATTAATCTTAGGGTTAACCCTAATTAGAGCACCCATCTCGACCATCGGATATCTTTCTCATCCGAGGGATAGCCTTCAGCGGCGCTGGAAACTTGTGACAGAAAACCCTAGTGGGCTGCAGCACTGGGCTTCCATTCGGTCCGGGTTTGGCTACTGGGCTGCTGATGCGTGCTTCGGGCTCCCACCGATTGGGCCGGTTGGGTTGTTTGTAACTACTTTGGGGCATGTAATTCAATTTTGGACTTTGTATTGGACCTAGAAACAAAAAAATAAAAATTAAATAATTATTTTAGCCCATATATGTATTTATATATTAACCTATATATTTAAATAGCCAATATTAAGAAAACAATAATTGATGTCATTATATGTAAGTATATATAGATATATGTATTTATACAAGTAAAGCTCAAACGAAAACCCAGACAAAAAGAGCATCTACATCCCATACATATCGATCAACCTGCATTGAACGAAACCTTCGGATTCCAACCCAAGCTTGATAGCAATGGCGTGAACTTGTCGTCCGGACATCCCTTCATCGTCCATCCTAGCACATGCTTGTAGTTCACTAGTTAATAAAGCTGTTTTTCTTTATACCTTCCCTTTCCATCCCGATAAAATCATTGAACACCTGATGGAATTGATTTTTCCTGAAACTACTCACCATTTTTTGTCGTCCATGTCACGGTGTTACACTTTGAAGACCGATTAATGAGAGTGTCGTCATCATCCATGCACTTGAAGTTCCCATAATTGTTGATTAATGACCCGATTAAAGACAAATCAGGGGTAAAACCCAACTTGAGTAACCTCCCATTAACATGATTTGAGAAAGGTACACGATGAGCCAAGATAGGAATTTGAAGAAAGAATTACAATGTTCCATGAGCACGAAATAAGAAATCGCCTGTTTGGGGTCACCAGCCCGGAGGAATGCGACGATCATGATAGCCCAAGAGTTGAAGTCTCTAAGAAACATTTGATCGAACTTCTGACGTGCAATCTCCAAGTGACCACAGGTTACATGCAATGAGGAGGAGGCAGTTAAGCAAAGGCAAGGAGGGCTTGATACGGTTGTTTTGGATGTGGGAATGTAAGCGGAGAGCACTAGAGTGGCTGGAGATGGTGCATTCTTTGCTATGGGAAGCGTAGATATCAGGGGGTATAGGGAGGGAAAGGGAATCCATTAACCGCACGTAATGTTTTTCTGAAGTTTTTTGTTACTAAAGAAGAAGAAGAAGAAGTGACACGTGAATTTTATTTATTTTTTATTATCAATTCAGACTTCCGTTAATGAATTAACGTAATTTAATGACTGATGGACTTAAACCAAATGGACCAAACACGCTGAATTTTTAAACTAATGACCAAAGTCGATTAGAACAAAAATAAAAGGGACTATTCACATGGTTTACCCATAGAACAATTATCAATAATAAAAGACAATTGGACTTGTAATCATATTGTAGAATACATTTTCAAGTAAACTGAAAGTCTGAAAATAATTTAAACACAAATTGCACAGGTTAAAAATTAAAAGAATATTATGAAATTTGAAAATAATTTTATTAGAAAAAGTAAATATGAAATTATCAATATATTTATAAAATTAATTTTGAAAGTAATCACGTGTAAAAATATAAAAATTAAATTAAATTTAAATTTCAATTAAATAATTTTATTTTAAAGACTGAAGTTAACAAAATACAAAACTAGTTTAATTTGAGAATATATTAATTTGAATTAAAAATATACTAATATAATTTAATATTAATATTAATTTAAGAATATATTAATTTGTTTTAAAATATATTAAATATAAATAATTTAATATTAGTTTAACCTAAATATTAATTATATCTATAATACAACTACTTTAAAGTTCGATTTACTGGTTAAATGTTAGGTTATTCTCTTAAGAGATTCAATTTTGACTTCTT